GCATGTGAATGCAAAATTCGCCTGGGAAAGAAACTAAAAGTGCTTGAAGTGAATATCAGTACAGAAGTACAGGGTGAGATGCAATCTTCGGGGCAAGACAAAATGTCCCTTTCAATGAAACTGTTACTGTAGCGACATGCACACCAGCACATCCCCCTAACCCCCGACCTCACCACCGCTGCCACGATTCATGTACAGCGTGCTTCCCCTGCCGGAGTTCATGTTTGGCATTGAAGTGGTCTTTGTAAAAAACCAAAAAAACACACAAGGAATCTTGAAACATCTTGGGGTACTAGTAGCGGTACTAGAGAACTGGTCTGAATAACATAATTATTATTTCAGTGGTGTACACTCAATCTTTGTTTTGTAGCTGTTTCGATCTTGCTAGAGTCTCCTCAGCGGAGCTCAGAGCTACTCACCGAACGGATCACAATGAAGCCTAATGAACGACATAATTATTAATGTATTACTCGGATGCCGTGAGCCAATTAAATTTTGGTGAAAAAAGGAGAAGGACAAAATGTTACGAGTTATGACTAGCTGTCCACCAACGTAACCAGATCTTATACAGTCAGCGAGTGCGACAAAATGGCACAAAACTGACAAGGAGTACTGAGACATTCGGCGACCTGACACCTAGCTCCAACACTTCTCCAAGGCGCAAACCAACAACCTTCGAACTTGGAAGGCTCAGGTTCGGAAAGGTCCAAGAGGGTCCAAGTTGGAAGGTTGTTGGTTTGCGTCTTGGAGAAGTGTTGGAGCTAGGTGTCAGGTCGCCGAATGTCTCAGTACTCCTTGTCAGTTTTGTGCCATTTTGTCGCACTCGCTGACTGTATAAGATCTGGTTACGGTGGTGGACAGTTAGTCATAACTCGTAACATTTTGTCCTTCTCCTTTTTTCACCATAAATTAATTTTTTAGTTTTTGTTTCTAAACCAGCTCAACATACCACATTCAGAGTGCTTTAACTGCGATCAACAGAGCTAGCTTTGCACCAGAGCAGATCATCTTGGCGCTAACCAGAAAGAGTGCTCAACCAAGCCTAGGCGAGGGAGAGTAATACTAATACTTTTACATCTCGGTGTATTAGTACAGTGGTCCCTCTAAAATCCGGCACCATTTGTGCCAGGGAAATTGTGCTGGATTAGGGAGGGTGCTGGATTAACAAAATATTAATCCGATTTACAGCTGCAATGTGCATGAAGAGGACATTTTGGCTACTGAAATTTGTGCTGGTTTATCGAGGGTGCTGGATTGTAAAGTGCTGGTGTAGAGAGGGACGACTGCATACATACATGGAAGCTTCTGTTTATGGCTGAGGTAGACATACTACAGCGACTACAAAATGGTGAGTCACAAGAGTGAAAGATGTTTCTTTCTCTCCGCAAAATGGACGAATCACCATTCTCTGCTTCAGCGGCTTCATTTGGCTCCAGTATGAGGGAATCATCCGAATGCAAGGAGGAAGGTGAGAACGCGGATTTCTCTCCTATACTCGAAGCTATAGTTCAGTGTCGCCATTGTCATTTCAGCGCGTTGACAATTCACGTGCCTGTCAAGCTTCAACTGCCTACGACGGTCTTTGCCATTTATAGGCAGGATCATCTAGCTCGCATCGAGGCCTCCTGGCGTCAGCCGAGCACCCTGTGGCGTTTTGGACGTCAGCTCCGGGTCAGCGGTGACGGGATAGCTCTGCAACACAGCTCAGTTACTGCGGCCAATGGATGCCTGGAAGGGAGACAACCCGGTGGAGTAAGATGAGCGCATTGCCTGCAGAGTATGGTCGGCGATTCAAACGACGAGTCAGCGTAGAATACAGTCATTCATGTGTATTGCGACTTTAAAATAAAATTCAACAACAACAACAACTTCTCTTATTGGCCACAGGCCATCGTGAGAATACATGTAAAAGATTTCAAACAACATGTACACACGATCCAGTGCACACGAAGAGCGTGCAGGGAGGATGAACTCCGCAGAGATAAGAGGGAGAGAGAAGGAGAGAGCTCCGTCATCCCGCTCCGCTGCACGTGCCACACGTATCATCTCACATCGGAGTCGCATACCAATCGAGTCCGGGCCCCAAATGCGGTCAGCAACCGATCAAGATCCCTTTCGCCGACATCTCTGCATCTCCCCTGATCGCTTGCCTTGAAAAGGTGGACGCAGAACACGTCTACAGATCACACAGTGCAGATAATCTCCGGTCACAGATTGCCTGTCGATCTGGGCTAGCCGTTCTTGACGCCTATTTGGGGTAATCAGCAAATGGCATTGCATTGGGTGGACGTCAGTCGACATCCTCCTGCGCAAGTTCTGACTGTACGCATCCCACCAGGTCGTTTTGTCCTATCCACCATACTGG